CATAGCTGGCTGAGGAATTCTGGGAGTTGGAAGTCCACAAGTCTTAAAAATTGCCAAGTTTGGAGACCTCTACAAAAAGCATCACCGTCTGAGGTGGGGGGGGAGGAGGGAGGAAAGGGGAGGAAATTTAAGGCTATGCCATGAGAAGAAAAAAAAAAAGAGAGAGAGAAGCCATTTCAAGAGAACCTGGCTTGCTTGCTCGCTTGCTTGCTTGGAGGGGCTGCAACTCTTCCCATAAAGACGGGGGAGAAGAAGGCAAGAAACGATCCGGTTTCCAAAGGACGGTTTTGCAGCTCCAGCCCGTTTCCAGGAGAAGCTACTCAAACGTGCAACATTTAGCAGCATCTGAATGCCTGAAGCCTCCTTACATTCCTCGGCGGTGGGTTCAGTTCTACCAACAGGCTGGATGGGGTGGGGTGGGGAGACAGGACAGCTCGGAGCAGCCATGTCTCTTCCCCATCCCAACTCCCTCCCCCTTAAATCAGCCCTGGGGGGGGCCCCCTTCCCCCCCCAAAATAACCTCTCCCTTCAGCTGTCCTTCCGTCCCTGCCCAGCAGAGACTTGGCACAGATCCAGCAGCGGAGTTGGCAACTTGGTTACTTTCGTCCTCTCTTTCCCGGCGGATGCTGGTTACTTGGCGGAGAGGGGGGAAGGAGGAGGAGGGGGGGGGGGTTTCAGCTCGGCAGTTGGTTCGCCCAACGGCGGTGGAATCCCCCCCCCCCCACCGGCGATTCCCCCGGGCGTGTTTCCGCTCCCTCCACCAGCTCGCGCACGCAGCTGGGCGTCTTTATAGGAAACCTTCTTTCCGGAACTGCTCTTGCAAGATGTCTCTGTACTCGTCGAAGCCGCCCTCGATACGCTGCACGGTGCCGCTGCCGCACACCCACAGCTCCTTGCACACCAGCCGGATGAAGCGTTCGTCGTGCGAAACGAGGATCAAGCCGCCCTAGAACAAGAGGGGTGGGAAGAAGGGAGCCTCGCATCACCCATTGGGGAGAGCTTTGGCCGCAAGGTCAGGGGTTCCCTCGCTACCGTAGTTTTTTTCTGGCTGTTTGGTTTTTTTTTTTTTTTTTTAATACAATTAAAACCCTTTGCTGCTTTCTTAAGCTTGGTTTGTTTCCTTGCAAGGTGTTTCAATACCTAAACTGGGGAACGTCATCTCTCAGCGTAACGTTGATGATGGGATCTAGTTTGGTAATGAAATGTCTGTAAGAAAACAGCCAAGCTCAAAGGGAGCAGGAAAGGGTTTCAATCGTGTTAAAAACCAAACAGCCAGAAAGTTGCAGTGAGAGCACCTCGTTTCAACCTTGATCTACAAATATTCTCCTTTAGCAATAGTACCTAGACTTATATACTGCTTCATAGTGCTTTACCGCCCTCTCTCTAAACGGTTTACAGCAGAGGTCCCCAAACTTGGCAATTTTAAGACCTGTGGATTTCAACTCCCAGAATTCTCCAGCCAGCACAGCTTAAACTCTCTTGTAATCCCTTCCTCTGCAATCTCTCCTCTTTGGGGGGATAAGAGAAAAAGAAACAGACACGGCTGGCTGGGGAATTTTGGGGAGCTGAAGTCCACAAGTCTTAAAGCTGCCAAGTTTGGGGAACCCCTGGGTTTACAGAGTCAGCATATTTCCCCCCCAACAATCTGAGTCCTCATTTTACGGGTGGAAGGACGGAAGGATTTTACGGGTGGAAGGAAGCATTTTCCTTAAGAAGGATGGAAGGCTGAGTCAACCTTGAGCCGGCCAGGATCGAAGTCCTGGTCTGTGGGGCAGTGTTAGCCCGCAATAAGGCCTTCTAACCACTGTGCCCTTAGGGTCAATGAAAACCCCCATTAAAATGGTCAATTAACCTCCTCTTGCCATTAGCAGAGTTTTCATTTGAAGGTCTGCTTCTGCATTATGACCCTTCAAATTCTTACGCAGGTGGCAACAGCTGGTTGACCTTCTCTGGGCCTGGAAGTCAAGCAAGATTAGGATTTGGATGAGAAACCTGTAATGACACGCCTGCAAATAAAAATCCAAGCTGAAAACTCCCAAATCTAGCAAAACTGCTCTTAAAGGTGGTTGATGGGCAATCCTGGGCTTGATTTGGCACCTTTATCTTCCATCTCCAATGCAAAGCAAAGAATGAGGAAAGCCCAGTTAGTCATCCCCAGCCTGGTGTTTTCTTCTGGTTTGCTTGGGAAATGTGGAGACTGTAATTTCAGCAGGTCTGGAGAATACAGGTGGTCTTCAACTTACAACACTTTGTTTAGTGACCATTCCAAGTTATAACAGTACTGAAAAAAGCAACTTGCGACCGTTTTTCAGAGTTACGACCTCTGGAGCATCCATCATTGGTCACACGATCAAAATTTAGACGCTTAGCAACTGACTCATATTTATGACGGTATCCCCCCTTTGCAACCTTCTGACAGGCCAAGTCAATGGGGAAGCCAGATTAATTTAACAACCAGGTTACTAATTTAATTATTGCAGTGATTCACTTAAGAAGTATGGTAAGAAAAGTCGTAAAATGGGGCAAAACTCATTTAACAAATTTCTCCCTTGGCAACATAAATTGCGGTCGTAAGTTGAGGACTACCTGTATCACCTTGGGAAGACTGAGTTAATCACTGGCTACAGTGGACTACTGCTTTTGGTGTGCATTAAACTTTGGGCTAATGGTTCTATATTGGGGAAGCTTTAAATTGTCCGACGTTGGGGAAGCTTTAAACGGAACCATTGTGCAAGATCAAAAATCAAGGTAGCTCTATGTCTTGTCTGCTCCCGGACATCACTTTTCCACTTGCCCTTCTGTTTCTCAAAGAGAAAAAACACACATCACAGAATAGGATTTATGTTAGGGTTTGGTTATGATTAAACAAGCTCTGTGGTGTTTTGCATTCAGCCTACTAAAGTTACTCTGGAGTGGGAACTTGGCGCCAAAGTGCTACATGATAAAGCAGCGGTGTTTTCCCTTGGGATTGTGTGATTGTGTTTGTACTACAGTGGAGAAAGACATGGCTGCTTTAAGCTGTTAAGAGAAAGATGCTACATTGGTGTGAAGCATCTTCTGAGATCCAATTTCAAGCACAGACCTATTATCAACCCACAATTTCCCCCTAAAACTAAATCTGACAACAAAAGAATGAATTAAATTTGTATCCGCCAATATCTTGATTCTTGATGAATGTATTTTCTATGTACACTGAGAGCTTACGCACCGAAGACAAATTCTTTGTGTGTCCAATCCAATTATGTTGTGCAAACTCAGCGTTGCAGACTTACCCGGAATTTGTTGAGTGCTTTTGCTAGAGCTTCAATGGTTTCCATGTCCAGGTGGTTTGTTGGTTCATCCAGTATATAGAAGTTGGGGCTACAAGGGGGGGGGGGGGTAAAAATGCAATTATAGTACAGGCAATTTTTGATTCACAACTTTTGAGGCTGGAATTATCACCCTAATTCCATCATGTTGGTCATTAAGTGGGTCATCGCACGACCAAGCCAGATTTTACTGCCTTTTTTTAGGTGCTTGTTAAAGGGAACATGATGGTCGCAAAGCAAACACAGCTGTCACCAAGTAAAGCCATTGTCTACAATGGATGTTTTGGTGTTTTTTTTTTGGCTAGAAAACGGAAATAAATGCCAGCTTCCGGCAAAAAAACTTACACAACCCCTGCACCACGAAACAAGTCCCACTGGGAATTGTTGGGAGTTTATTAGGATCAGATAGCAATTTAAGTGCAATTCAACCCAGTGTGATCCACAAGTCCCACTGAGTTAAATAGAAACAGGACTTAAAACAAAACAGGGAGCTGAGATCATCCATTCCCACAACACTGTCAAAACTATTTACTAAGACTCTATTACTATTCTTCTTCTCATCCTTCCTATTACCTATCTCCTCCCACTTATGACGATAACCATGTTGATTGTATCTTTATGATTTATGTTGCTTTATTTAGTTTCCTAGTATGATTTGACTGCTTATTTAGTATCCTATGAAGTTGTATCTTATTTGTTGTATCTTATGATTCTTGTATTTTTTTTAATGTACACTGAGAGCATGGGTACCAAAGACAGATTCCTTGTATGTCCATTCACACTTGGCCAATAAAGAATTCAATTCAATTCAAAAAATTGCATGCCTTTGACTGCGGGACGCTGCAAATGGCCATAAACGGGGGCTGGTTGCTGAGTGCCAAAAATATGATCTCGTTCCATGTTAAGGACACGCTTTCTGCCCACTATTTGAATAACTGAATTATAATTATTAAAAATAATTACTAAATTATTTACACAACAGTGGTGAGACTGATCTCCAGGGGGATGAGTCTGCCTACCGAGATGAGGTGGACCGGTTGCTTTCATAGTGTGGAGACAATAACTTGGTCCTCAACACCAATCAAGGAGCTTATAGTGGACTATAGAAGGAACAGATCAGACATCCAGCCCTTCCTTATCAATGGAGACCGAGGGGAGCAAATGGCCAGTTTTAAGTTTCTGGGTGTTACCCTAAAAGAGGACCTGACCTGGGGTGCTGACATTGCAGCCCTGGTCAAAAGGGCCCAGCAGAGATTATATGACCTGAGACTTCTCAGAAAACAACAACTGAATGGAAAACTGCTGGTGACCTTCTACCGCTGCACCATAGAGATTATCTTTACTTACTGCACCTGTGTCTGGTTTGCCAATTGCACAGTGGCAGATAGGAAAGCGCTCCAGAGGGTTAACGTCATTGCCTAGAAGATCATTAGTTGCCCTCTCCCCTTTTTGGAAGAGCTTTATAGCTCCCACTGCCTTAAGAAAGTTCAAAACATTCTCAAAGATCCATCTCATCCTGGGCACCTCCTTTTTTTTTTTTTTTTTTAAACTATTACTATCTGGCAAATGGCACAGGATAATGATAAAAACAAGGACAAATAGGCTGAAAAACAGCTTCTATCCCAGGGCAGTAGCTCTTTTGAATTCTGCTGTGTAGTGCAGTGTTGGTGCAGTGTTGGGTGGGTTTTCAATTCAATGTGTGGAGTGTGAAGGATGTGTGTTTGTGTTTATTTTCATAGTCGTAATGTACACTGAAGATGGTGTTTGATTTCATTGTACGAGGTGCAATGACAATAAAGTGAACTAAACTAAAAAGTAAACTGAAAACAACACTAACAACAACAGAAAACCAACCAACAATAACAACCCAGCGGGATTACCAAGGCATGGTCATCTGGGCAAAGGCCACTCTGCTCTTCTGTCCCCCCGATAGGCTGGCAACCGGGCGGACCGCCAATTCTCCGGAGACTCCGTAGCACCCCAGCTGATGGCGGTACTCCTCCTCTGACTTCCCTGAATCACGTGGGGCAGAAAGAGGTGTGTGAAATCCAGGCCTAAAACGTTATGAGGCACAAGAGCTAAACCCGAATCTCATTATCCCAATAACCAGCTGCGACTGGGAAGCCACGCTGAGGGATGCTACGGGCCATGCCGATAAGGGATTACGGGGGTTAAAAACTATTTGGAGCATTAATTTGTGACTGGATTCATACAGCATCTTAGGAGGCCTCTGTTTTAAACACATTTTGCTGAGACGGAAAGGTGTAACATTAAACACGGGAATGCGGTGGCTCGGTGGCTAAGGAGGCTGAGCTTGTCATTCAGAAAGGTTGGCAGTTCGGCGGTTCGAATCCCCAGTGTCGTGTAATGGAGTGAGCTTCCGTTACTTGTCCCAGCTTCTGCCAACCTAGCAGTTTGAAAGCATGTAAAAATGCAAGCGGAAAAATAGGGACCACTTTGGTGGGACGGGAACAGCGTTGCATGCGCCTTCGAGTGTTTAGCCATGCTGGCCACATGACCATGGCGATGTCTTCGGACAGCGCTGGCTCTTCGGCTTTGTAACGGAGATGAGCACCGCCCCCTAGAGCCGGAAACGACTAGCATGTAGGTGCGAGGGGAACCTTTACCTTTTTACCTTTTAAAGGTCTAACATTAAATCACACCCCCATGGTTCATAAACCGTGGAGCCCTTGGTGCTCTCTTAAGATTGGCTGTTTGCTTGCTGATGTTTCATTACCTGACGAGGTAACATCGTCCATGCTGGCGATTGTGGGGTTTGCTCCCCGTTTATATACAGTAGCTTGCCCTCCGCGTGTTGGAAAGAGTATGGTTTTCTCCTTGGTAGTGCCTAGTTTAGGACATTGTTTTCTGCTTGACTGTTTGTCTGGGGTTAATCCCTGCTTATCTGGGTGTTGGTTACAACCAAGCTCAGAGAGGGCTCCACAATTCAGCCCTGAACTATGGATATTCTCCTTTATTGGTTTACAAACTCCTAATGGGCAAATTTATTCCAAGTGGAATGTATTTGGACACAGTGGCTGACAGACCATGATTGGTGGCTTGTTCAAGGAGATGCAAAAAAAGTGGGTCCAGGGGGCCTATAAAACCCACCTATAAAACCCTACTTTCTCTGGCTCTCAGATTCAATGAGAATAGATGAGCCAAAAGCAGAGTAATACCCGCTACCCCACCTCACCTGCGTTAAGACATGGGAAGAGGAAAAAAATGAATGCCTTAAGACCAATGCCATAACATCGGTGCCTTTTTGGAGTATGGTTCTGACAAAACCCAGTATGGCCCACTGATCAATAAAAAGTTGCTGCTGGCTTAACATGTTTCAGGAATCCTTGCCAATAAATTCAGCAAAAAAGCCATGTCTTAAAACAGAGGTCCCCAAATTTGGCACTTTTGACTTGTGGACGTCAATTCCCAGAATTCTGGGAGTTGAAGTCCCCAAGTCTTAAAGTTGCCAAGTTTGGAGACCTCTGTCTTAGAATGAGGTTGTACCTCAAGTCACTGTCTTTAATCTTCAGTGTTCAGTAAACAGAGCAGGGGAGTGGAAAGTTTCTGGTGGTTAACTACGTAGGCCATGAAACGGCGGGAGCTGAAATCTAACAAATTGTGAGAGAGTGTTTGGCAACTTACCTGGAAACCTTTTGGCTAGTAGTTCTGTGGCACTAATATCCAAATCCAGCTGATCCACATGATGCTGACTGAAATAGCCAATTTTAAGGTTTCTGCCAAAAAAACCGCATTGTTAAAGCTAGAGTTTAAAATGGTCTATTATTGAAAACACTAGCTCAACACCTGTGCTTTGCTACGAAACTATGTGGTTGGGCTTAGTTTTGGGGGAGGAAAGTAAGAGGGAAAAAAAATCTGCCTCTGCCTACCAGCATCCATCGGTATTTATTTGGCTAGCGTCCTGTCAGTGTGTTAGAGTTGAGGACTGTTTGGAAAGTGAAACAGTATTTGCTGTGTGTGCAAGGAGACAGCAAGGACCCTGGGTGTGGCTTAGCTCAACTGTTCTGTACTAAAACTGCTCCTTTCCTCTGCTTGTGTTTTGCATTTGGAAGAGATTTCTTTTCAGGTGGGGAGGGGGAGTAGAACTCCTTAGCATCAGAGCGTGTTAATAATAATATAGGAAATACTAATGCTCTGATGGTCATTTCGAAAAATCCTTTGTTTGTGAGCACCTAGAAGCCAAGAGGAACGTACGTGCCAAATTTCAAGTTTGTGGGCTTTACGGTTCTGGAGATTTTGTGATGATGCGTGAGTGGCATTTTGCTTTTATATATATATATATATATATGATAGATAGATAGATAGATAGATAGATAGATAGATAGATAGATAGATAGATAGATGATAGATAGATAGAGATAGATAGATAGATAGATGATAGATAGATAGATAGATGATAGATAGATAGATAGATAGAGATAGATATAGATAGATAGATAGATAGATATAGATAGATAGATATAGATAGATATAGATAGATAGATAGATAGATAGATAGATAGATATAGATATAGATAGATAGATAGATAGATAGATAGATGATAGATTAGCCAAAGTAATAACTCCCTGTTCTGTAAGATAAATGTGTTCCCTTGCTTGACAAGGAGAGAAGAAGAAGGATAAATTGAACCTGGCTTCTGTTGCTTAAAGAGGCATATTCCTTACTGTTGTTCTGTCAGAGCCAGGGAACATTTCAGGGTCAATTCCACAAAGGGATTCTTGGGCACAGGTTGTCCTGACACCATATCTAATCTATAACTCTTCAAAGAATCCACATTTCCCCCCCCCCCCCCAGGATCACTCAACAGCAGCAAAGGGCTGAGTCTTTTTCAAGGTCAATCTTCTCTCCTGGTGGTTTCCCTCCACCCACCCAAGTCAAGGGATAGAGATATGGGAGGGGACAAGTGTTCTGCAGCCCTTAAAGCGGTGTTTCTCAACCGTAGCCATTTTAAGACGGGTAGACTTCAACTCCCAGAATTCTCCAGCCATGCTGACTGGGGAATTCTGGGAGTTGAAGCCCACCTAATTTAAAGTTGCCATGGGTTGAGAAAACACCATCTTCGAGTGATAAAGAACAGCAGGAAAGTAGGGCAGAGATAGGAAGCAACAGCAGTGTTGCATCTCCCAGCTAACGTTGAGAAGCTGAGAGTATCACTCTTCCCTTAATGAAGGAAAGGAGCAGCAGGAGAAAAAAAAATGTAGCTTCATTCAGCTTTTGAGCTAATAGGCCTTGGCCTGAGCTGTGATGGTGCTTCGAAGTGGCGCTTACGTTGCACACAATGTGGCCTTTAGCTTGGGAATTCAAAACTGCTGTTCTAGTCCAATGTGCCGAGTGTTTAGCAAAAGTTTCCCATCTTCACAGAAAGATTAAAAGCTTATCTCCAAAGTAACGAAAAGCACACGTGCCTCAGGAATCTGGGATGCTATTAAATTGCTTAGCAACAAGTCAACCATATTCTACGTGTTTTGTTCTCTTCTTCTCTTTCCACCCTATCTCTTTGATGTGGGTTGAAAGCTACCTGTGAGCGTGTCTAATCCCTCGCACAGGTGCCAGGTCTCCCATCAGGATCTTCAGCATGGTAGATTTGCCAGCTCCATTCTCTCCAACCTTAGAAGTAAATGATACAGAGATTACAGAAACATCCTGCCAAGCTCCCTTTTAGGATTCCAGAGCTCAAGAGAAATGGGATAAAACTTTACTCTGTTACGTGCATATTTACTTCTAGCCCTTTTTCAGTCTAAGAAGCTAACATACAAGCAATGGAAGACAAGGATGGGAAGGGATGCAGGAAGCAGTAACAAATTCTAGTTCTAATCCCTAACATTCAAGGACTTGTTTTGGTCCAACGAAATGGTGATTAAACACTGCCTCCATTGATACTATAAAGAGCCTGACACTTTCCTTTGTTTTGCTTTTTTGGTTAAAATTAAACAGGGTCCCCAGCTACAAATCTTTAGGTACAGCAGTATGCCAGAAAAGGTGCACTTAAGTTGAAGTAAAGCTAAATGTACTGGCCAGTTAAAGAAACTAGGATAGGCTACTTAAATTCAAGCAGAACTGCCAAACTTTAAACAATTGTGAGCCACCCAGAGTCGTTTGCTGAGATGGGCGGTCATAGAAATCAATCAATCAAACAAACAAACGCATGTGACAGTTTATAGAGTCAGCATATTTACCTCAACAATCTGAGTCCTCATTTTACCAATCTCGGAAGGATGGAAGGCTGAATCAACCTTGAGCCTTGTCAGGATCAAACTCCTGGCATTGGGCAGAGTCAGACTTCAATACTGCATTTTATCCACTGCTCCTAGCCAGGGGTGGGATTCAAATTTTTTAACAACCGGTTCTGTGGGGTGTGGCTAAGTTGGTGGGCGTGGCTTGGCGGTCATGTTATTGGCTGGGCGTGGCCAACTCAGCATCTCCTCGCCTGGCCTCTCATGACTGTGGGGATGCTGCAACAGTCGTAAGTGTGAAAAAGGGCCACTTTTTTCAGTGCCATTGTAACTTTGAATGGTCACTCCACACAAGCAAAGTACCAGCAAAGGAGGGGGAAAAAACTCCAGAGAAGTTCCTGAGACAGGAAGTCTAGTCCTGCCAAGAACGTAATAAGGGTTAACAGAGAGGCAGTTTCTGTAAGCAACACCAGAATGTTTCTTTCCTTCCTGCCTTCCTTACAGGATTAGCCCAGTAATTTCTTCTAACAACCGGCTCTCCGAACTGCTTAGAATGTTAACAGCCGGTTCTAGCGAATAGGTGCAAACTGGCAGAATCCCACCCCTGCTCCTAGCTCTTACTAGGTCCTTCTGTTAAAAGCACTTGTAACATTTCTTTTTTCTTGGTCTATCCACTGACACAAAACAATTGCCGAATGATTGGATTTTTTTTTGTTTTGTTTGTGATAAGTGAATGCTTTTATCGCTTTCACGTAATTAACCTTTTGCCAAGTATTTCACCTTACCACACAGATGCGAGAGTCCAGGTCAGCAGAGACAGAGAGGGAGCAAAAGATGTAGTTATTGGGCTCATAGCAAAAGTCCACTTCATCAAGTTGTAAGATGGGAGGAGAAAACTTCTCAAAGCCATCTGGGAACCTATAGGGGGGGAGAAAAAAAATGTCCAGGGGAATGAGCAAAAAATGGAAGTGGACAAAAGGGCCCTCATTGCTTCTGTCAGAGCAGGAGAATCAGTGTGGTGTTAATTTCCTACCACACTATGGTAGGGATACATAGCAGTTACATTTATATCATGTTGTTTTTAATGTAATAATAAGTATGCATTGCAGACATCATTTAGAGTTATGGTCTAGAGCAGGGGTCTCCAACCTTGGCAACTTTAAGACTTGTGGACTTCAATTCCCAGAGTTCCTCAGCCAGCTTTTGCTGGCTGAGGAACTCTGGGA